TGCAATTTATGTTTGGAAGAAAAATTTTGCATTTTGAAAGACATAAACAAAGACAATTTACTCAATAAAAGAAGCGAAATTTTCGGCAAATGTCGTCACAAAAACCGGTTTCGAGTAAACAAGGTCGTTAATAAAACCTAATGACCCAAGCATGCATTGTTTCACCTAAGCATTGTTTCGCCTACACGCATTCCGAACATTCTTTCGATAGCATAAAAGCAACCTACAATTTCGAAATTATTCACCACCTGATGATTCCTATACGGATGAAACATATATATATATATATATATATATATATATATATATATATATATATATATATATATATATATATATATATATATATATATATATATATATATATATATATATATATATATATATATATATATATATATATATATATATATACATACATATATATAACATATAAACAGTCTTGTTTTTCGTTATAGATAAAAGAGTGCTCAATACTACAAATATTTAGCAGAGCGAATTAATTTGTTATCTTCAAATGTTTCAATTTATCGCTACTTTAAGTTTCATCCCACTATTTGTGGTAATCTTCAGGCGATTAAATTCAGTTCGTTATAATGGCCTGATCTATAGTTTGCTGACGTGCATCGTCATTATTCGCACGCGCGTTCAAAATTTCCCGCCCAAACTTTCTCGCGATGTCGGCATTTTGCGAATATCTCGAGTCTTTTGTTCAATGTTAAATGTTTGTTTGCATCCATTATGCAGAGTTTTTCTTCTATGCAGAGATTGCAACGCTTTTCAAGAGATGAGTGTCCGCCTGCCCGCTTTAGAATTGACTATTTTAGGGTGTAATCTTTATTATTACTCTTTAGCACCCAGATGTACTTTGATAGCTCTGTATCGTTTTTATATCTTTGAAGTTTGAAGCATGGCCAGAAATTCAGGACATCATGGCGATTGGCATACGCAATGTACTTCCTCATCCATTATTCAAGATGGCTGATTTATATATAGATTAAGTATTGCAAATATATGTTTTAGCAATTTCCAGCTTTTTTCGTACATAAATCCGAGCTCTGCACGTCGAAAACATCATTTAATTACTCGATCCTTTAACCGAATAAATTTCAGAACAGTTCAAGTAGGACAAACCAGTTTCCGAGAACTATATTCCTAACTTATCTCATCACATATACCCAGTGAACTCTATATATACATATCTGGAATGATAACAGCGAGCGAAAAGTGAAGCCGACAAAAAAAAATCACGACATAAGTATTCGTCATCGTCTTCGTCTTCGTCATCAACTGTTCAAGAACTTTCTTACAGTATTAAAAATCACTTACATGTAAAATTTGTAATTGTTTTGAAAGTTTTTATCCCAGTTTTTATATCTTTATTCACTTTTAACCTGAAGGTGGAGTTATACTCCGAAACGTAGTTATTAAAATAATTTTTTTACTAAGCCCATATGGTCTAATTTATATTCAAACACACGTACATGTTCATTTACATTTTGCTGGCAGGGAAATTCCGATCACACAATAAATTCTTTAAAAAATAACGTACTAGTGTATTGACTAAAAACTATAAAACTGGCAAACTAAAAGAATAATTCAAACGTACAATCGCTAAAAATGGCAACGGCAAAGTCACAGTTGCAAGTCAATTTACCTACGTGTGAAATGAAATTTTCTCGCAAGAATATCTCTTTCCTTGTGCATCCAGAACGACAGTACGACACAATATATTTGAAAAAGTGATTCTTTTCTCCACACGGGGAAGTTTTCCTCGACTTTTTTCCGACAGCGAACTCAATGCAGTAAATTTTAGGAGCAAAACTGTTTGCTCCTACAATGTATTGCATTGAGTTGGCCATGTTTTTAATTTTTTTTTCGTGATTGCGTTCAAATTTATACTGGCCGTGCAACGGTTTGCAAGAGGGGGAATGAAACTGACGTCCAATCCGCGTAAACCTGACGTTTGAGGGACTGAGACTGACGTCCAATCCGCGTGAAAGACTGGTATCGAGGCTTCATTGTTTTCACAATCAAATGACTGAATGTTATCATTATAGATATATATATATATATATATATATATATATATATATATATATATATATATATATATATATATATATATATATATATATATATATATAGAGTTCACTGCATATACCAGATAGTTAATTCTCCCAAAATTCGCAAACTGCACATTTTTGGGCAGCATTTTAGGACATTCGTGGGCAGTACATGGAGCTTCTGCACCTTTGCATTGATAAAAGTTGAGTTTATCTTTGTTCTCCAACAGTTTACAAACCCGTAGAGGATGGATAAACAGGTTCCAAAAAGCCACAAAACCAGCAAATTTGTAAATGTTGATCCGCCATTATGCCTTAAAATTGTTGCTAGGCAACCTATATGACTGACAAGGCGTGTATTTGTGGGCTCAGTGAGGTTGATTTCGCAATAAAATAGCTCAGATTTCGCGGGAAAATTTGTAAAATGTGGTAAAATTATTTGCAGCAGTTTCTATTTGGGCATCTTTAACAGTTGGAAATTTATTTTAAAATACTTTTCTTTCGTTTACTTGAACATACTGTACCTCAAGTAAGTATTTAAACGGCTTATTGTTGTATTGTGCGTATAAAATTTGCATACGAATACAATGTCGGATACATGCCCGACTGCATTCTATTCTTTCTTGAATTGGAAACTTGGTGAATATGAGCCCGCGCATCTTTCCGCCATGCATGGCCAGAAATGAAGGACAACATGGCTAACAAGCATGCGCGTTAAGCTTACACCAAATAAATTCAAAATGGCGGCATACTATATATTTGATAAGAGAAATTCAACATACGCATTTTGTGTTCGATCCCGTAAAGAAATTACACGGTCCCACGTCTAAAAATTTATCAAATAAGGCCAGTATCAACTCCCGACAATTTGGCGACAGTCCGAGTAGCGTAGATATGTTCCCGAGAGATTTATATTTCTACTTCTCGCTTTGTATATAAACGCCTAATAAATCGACATAATTTGCCGAAGTGAGGTTTTCCAATACGTAAATTTGGCCACATATTGTTGACTTTTCGCACGGTCCCACGTCTACGCATATTCAAGGTGGACAATACTTTCCTTTTAGCAGCATTTAAAGGCTCAACGGCTTGCTTAAACCTGTTCCCGAACGCCTTGAAACATAGCATTTTCATGCCGCAGATTCGTCAAAATTTAGTCCACCAAGCGCTGGAAAATAGTCGCTAAACTAGCATAAACAAGCAAGATATGCGGGCCACTTCGCTTCTTGCTGCCATTTTACATTCCTGAGTTGTTTTGAGTTGTTACTAGATTGCCAGGGCCTATACCGCTGTATTATTTATAAATTTGCTCGTACATTCATAAAAACAAGCGCGACAAATTTAATATATTTGGTTTGTGTTGGCGAATATTCGTTCTGAGATTTCAATAATGAAGTGGATTAATGTTGCCAGTATTAGTATTTACGTTTATTTTTGTTTGATTATAGCTAAATATAGTATTTTGCATAGGAGCGATTGCAGAATACCCGTCTACTTTTGAAGACCTCACTTGTAATTATCATGACAAGATGATACGAAGTGAAAATGATTACGTAATAATTGTATACTCACGCTATTATAAAGCGTGGGTAAGCTATATTTTGCGTTATTGCGCGTGTTATGATAACAAGTGAAGTATTTAGAAGTGGACGGGTATATTCTGCAATAGCTCCCCTTATAGAATCGAACCGTCATTTTGAATTTTTGAGATTTTGAGCCCACAGGTCAACCCGCTGGCTGACCTCGATTTCTGACCATGTTACTGCAAATATGCACTTTCACATTAATGACTTCAGAATTGTATCTCGTTTAGATAAAAATGCTGTTTTTTACAGAGCCTCTGCAAAAAAAAATAGTATTTCGATATCCTAAAATGAAATCTTCGCACTTTTTGTTATTTTTTTAAAATTTTTGCAAAATAAAAAATAGTTTGAAATTATTGAAAATAGTTTGGAACGCGTTGGTATATAATTTCAGTGTAGTTTTGTTAATTACCCTTTCCTTTGTATATTAAAATATTTAAATAAAAAAAAAAGAAAAGAAAGCACAGTCATTTTCATGTGGGAATTTGAAATTAGTTTATTTCAAACTCAATGTTTACCAATAATTCGATAAAAGGCCGTTTTAATAGTTCTAAGAAGATTTTAAAACGTTTTGCGAAGCGTACGGTTTGTGGTTGAATTTTACATTAAATTGAAGCATATATTACGTATAATAACATAGTACCTAGCATATATATGTTTGGGAAATTAATAATTTTGTTACTAAAAGTGATATTTTGGGGAGATTTTTCAATTTTAAAACTATTCTTAAAATTATCGTGTTACTATGACAACTACTTTCAACTCTTCATATTCAGAAAACATAATGTTTTATCAGTAAGGCGAGGGTATCTGCATGCATGTATTTTCTAGTTCAGTGGATACGCGGATACGTGCACAGTAATTTCAAAAGGGCCATTTTGGCCCCTAAAATGGGGCCAAAATTTTGACCCTGAGACGGCTCCATTTTAATGGGGCCGTTTTGGCCCCATTAAAATAGGGCCATTTTGGCTACTTATTAATGGGCGATTTTGGCTATTATGTGGGGCCATTTTCGTTCTTTCAAAGGGCTATTTTCAATCTTATAATTAGAATGATAGCAATTTCAGCTCTCAAAAAAGGGCCAATTTAGCTCTACGTGGGGCTGTTTTGGCTCTTCGAAAAAGGGGCTGTTTTGGCTCTTTCAAAAGGGGCTGTTTTGGCTCTTTCAAAAGGGGCCGTTTTGGTGGTTTCAAAAGGGGCCGTTTTGGCTCTTTCAAAAGGGGCTATTTCGGCTCTTTAAAAGGGGCTGTTTAGCTATTTCAAAAGGGGGATGTTTTGATTCTGAGGACAGCACCATTTTATCGTTGCTCATTAGACATATTCAAATAATCACACAATGCAAGTTTAAAAAGGTGTATTTACATGTTAATTACAATTACAAGTTAAACATTACAAGTTAAACATTACATTAAAATATTTACAAGATGCTGGGCACTTTGGTGTGACAATACCCACCACTAGTCACTACAAAAAATTATGTGTAAAATATGCATGCACAGCAACACATTTACTGTATATATGAATATCATAATGTCTTATTGTTTTACTTGCCAGTGCTGTCACATAATGGGTTAAACAAGTAAACTGAGGTAAAACCATGAATGTTTTCTGGAATCAGGAACGAGCCAGTAGCATATTAGATCACAAATACTGTACGGTACCGACAACATCACCCTTGCATTTTAGTAAGCATCTACCATGTTCAAAGATTCTTTATCGCATTGTAAACTCCATCCTACATAATGAATAATTACAGATAGATTATTTAATTAATATTTGTTTTCATAGGAAAAATTTGATTCACTATGACTATGGCTCCAACCTTAGACCAAATTATAGCTAGTAACATGCTAACCCAGAAATAGTCGTGTAAGGTTCACTGATATTCCGATAACCGATACTGAAAGACTGATATTTTTCAGATACTGACACCGATATTCCATGTCATTACACAAAATTCAAAGATGACATCAAATTACTGACATTTCAATTTAGTTGGTGCATCACTACCCAGAAATCATGGTCACACAGGAAAATGTTAACCCATGAAGTTGCATTGCACTCCTACTTTATTGTATTCCTGTCTAATGTCGATTGCCAGACATATTTGTGAGTGGGAGTGCTGGTGATTAATGAGGTAATGTGCCTACGTCCCTATTTTATTGTCTTTAATCCAGTAAGTACCAGTGTTCTCCCCTTGACAAGTAAAATCGTCTGGCATTAGACAGGGTAAAATAATAAAGCGGGGTGCATCAAGATGCAATGCAACTCAATCCATGGATTTTGTTCATTCAGCATTGGCTACCAGAAATGTGATAAAAAGCCAATGTGCATGTAATACAAAGAAAGCTAGATTAATTTATGATTTGTCTTATAAATGACCATCAATACATTAGCACTCTCCACTTGAGTCTTGATAGACAGAAGACAATAATTTGGCATCAACCCAGTATTCAACTCACTCTAATGAGTAATCATCTAAGTCAATATTCTAGGGTAAAATCTACCTATAAGGAATCTCTATAAGAATCTCACCATGTAGTAATTTTAAGCAGCTTTCCCTTGTCTGTAAGTTGGCTGTAATAGGTATGCTGGCAACAAAAATACAAGATGTCAGCACTTGTAAAAAGAATACTAGTTTTATGATCCCTCCTGCAATATGAACTCTATTTAGAGTGTTTACAATAAAATGAATGATTCTACCTCTATTTGGCTTAGGTGAGACCTCATTACTTGTTGCCGGGATCCCACCTGCCAAGACGTGAAATTCTCATATACAGTAAGCACTCTATCATCCCTGCCAGATGGGGTGCATGTATCCCGTCTATTTTGCTTAGCCAGGTTTCTCAGCAAGACTGGATTAAAACCTCCTGTCCAGCCATGCCATTATCACATACATGTAAACAGGCACATACAATATGTAAAGGTGGACTTGAATAACTTAGATTCTTGCACTTCACTTGCTGGAATTAATATCAGTTGGTTAGAGTGCTGCACCGGAATCGCAGGGCTGTGGGTTCAATTCCTACCAAATGACCTTGTACTGCATTTTTCGCAGTCGTTCCTGGTTAGGTCTTAAAATGTATATATTCTCACTTGGATTACAAACCATAACATCATAAACATACAATATGTAAACTCTACAAGGGTTTGGATTGGAATCCTTCAAGCTCAAGCTAGCAAAGTTTTACTGTTTATACTTTTTACCATATTGTGGGCAGCACTAACCCTTTAAGACATAATGTGCCCTGATAAATTGAAACTCACAAATAATTTTCATGTTTTGACTTCGAGGCTTGATGCAGACAACCTAAGTGAATATGAATAATGACAACTGCATGTC